GAATCTACAAAACAAACCGTAAATTATAAAAATGTACACACACGTTTGTAACATATACTTTTCGTTTCGAATAATTGCAAACTATTTGTTTTTTTTTGTTTTTTTATTGTACCTAAACCAAAAACTATCGTGGATACTTAAAATATTAACTTAATGTTCGTAGGTATTAGTATTTTATATACAAGGTATAATTTTAAAAATATTTCTATTCTTGGAGAAATATTTAAAGAAATTTGAATTTTTTTTTCTATTCAATAAATATCGATAAAATAAATGTATGCTCAGTCACAAAGAACGTAAATTTAATACATGGATCTACATCAGTTTATAATACTGGAATTAAAAAAAAAACTGGTATAAATCTATAATATCATTTTTATGAATGTTTTTGTCAGAAATTCGTCGAAATTGTGAAAGTGTACAAATTATTGTGTACTGTGTCAATGTGTCATAAATATAAAATATTTATGTAGATTAATTTTGAACTATTGTCTATTTATAGCAGGAACTTATTCATACTGTTCCACTATATAAGTCGGTATTGAATCAAAAATTAACAACAATAACTTGTGATAAAATATACACCTATACTATATAGGTACTATAGTTAACTATAATAATATAATAAAATAAATTGATGTTTTCGGCAAAAATTAACTTTAACTAACTTAGACCCCACTCCTCACCAAAATCACACTAGTCTTCCAAATATAGACGGATTTTTAGTAGTGTGAAATAAACCCGGAGGGCCCCCTCCCCCGCTCAAATTAATTTAAAAAATGTTAGCCTACCCATGAAATTTTTTGGATTTTTGCCTATGCTAAATGGACATTGTAGATAAAAGACATGGCGGCAGTCAGGATTTTAAATTATATTTTCATTTAAAAAAGAGACTTCTGATATTATTTGCAAAAAAAAACAATAAATTCCAAAAATATGTTTAGATGATTTGACATTTATTTTATGTTAATTGGTTCAGAGGATTGTTATTTCCAAGAAGGCTACGGAAACATCAGAATATTTAAATGGTTTAAACGGGAGAACTTTGCTTCGATATAATAATATATAATATACACCGTCGAGGGCCCTGTCGCTGAGCTGTTATTTTTTTCATTTAGCGTTGCTTGATATTGTATATTGTTACCATCAAAGCACCAGACTTGTTGAATAAGATGTAAAACAAAAACTATTTATGTGTATATTTCAGTTATTTATAAATTATTAAATTTATGTTTTATTCTGAAATGTAATATGTATTTATTTTTTCAAGTTTTACTGGAACAACTTTTTTCCCAGCTAGATAATATTAATCAAATAAAATGGTGTATAATATACTGCCTATACCAGAAATAGTAACACAAATATTTCAAGGTATTCAATGTGTTAATCGGTAAAACAATGCATGAAGTATAGAATTGATTTTATGTAATATTATTTAGATATATATTTCAATTGTTACGTTTACAAGAAAACATAATATTAATAATATATAGGAGGTACCTACAATTCAATACAATAATTATGATTTGAACATTCCCATTTTACAGTTAACTCTGGTACAAAAATCAAATTACTGTAATAAATATAAACTTCGTTTTAGTCATTAAAATAAATTTCCATTTAAAATATACGCACAGTGAACCTATTAAATATACACTGTATTGCCGAGCAGCGTTCATTGATCCTAAAAACGGATATAACTATTTACCATCTCATAGTATTATTTATTTGAATTGTATTGTTATTTTTTTTTTTTGTAACATATTATTATGAAATCCCAAAGCTCTAATCGTCGATAAAGTTTTAAATGTCCACAACAACGACCACGTACACCGCACAATAATACATCACGTCGTGAATAAAGCCATGGCATCGACTCGCGATTGCAATATTGAGCGGCTTCGATAGCGGAAACGGTATAGTGGTTACTGGTTTAATTATTATTATTATCATCATAGCATTCGGGACGAGTGTCAAAAACAAAGCGTGGTTTGCGAATCAATCGTTGTGGCGCCTGAACGACATCGGTACCTACAACTATAATACCTACGACACGTAATCCGAGCTCGAAAACGTCGTATTTGCGACGATATTAATATCACACACGTTGTGCACGCGTTACATACCAAATCACAACCGCGGTTATGGGTTATAAATCGGCAACCTGCGCGCTTTACAACTATTACCAACACGCTGGTCCGGAAAACTGCGCGATTTCTGGCTTCGACGGCGTACAGTTACCGCGTGAAAAACCCGCACGCCATCATAATACATTATAATATATATTTATTACCCGCTTGCTCGTGCAGAGATATAAATGAGCGACGGATCGGACCGAAAACGATCGGAGGACGACGTGGCGGTGGCGGTTCCCAGGTGGTACCTATAATATACGGTTGTCAACGAGGCAAATGATATATCACGCGGACGGTGACAAGCAATCAATTCAAAGTTATAGAATCCCGTCCCCCCCTCCCGGGGCAGTCTTTTTCCCGCCATCTTCATCCCCCTCTCCGTGAATCCTTTCACCGTTCCGAGGGCCGCTACCCCCAGCCCCGCAGCAGCAGTGGAGGCCGAAAGTGAATTAATAGGCGCACGGGGGATTTACAAGTTTAAACGGAACTTTTATATATATTACGTCATAATATGATACGTTGCACCGCGCCGAAAACAATATATATCAACGCCAATTAAGGGGGCCGCGAGGCGGGGGGGTGGGTTATTTATGGGACAACGTGACCGACGGTCTTTATTTTCGGTCACGAACGGGGCCCACATAATTATACCGCACCCCAAGCCCGGTGACGGCTTCGTACATTTGTTCCGGTTTTTCGTCCGGCGACCACAGCCACGACAACAACAACAATAATAATAATAATATTATCGTCATCATTTGAATGATGTGGATTATCGGCATAAATAATAATATTGTTTTACTTGAAGGCGTTTCGCAGATTCAACTAAGACTCTCCAACGATTTTTTTAAGATTTTAAATAAATTATACGTCTTAAGTGTCAATTATTAATTATTTAATGTTGGTTGATATCAATAATTACGTATATGACTGTATTGCAGTAATATATGGAGACCCCTAATTATGTCGGGGCCTTTACAGCCCCCCTCCTAAAGTAGTGATCTGCATACTTGCAGCATACCAGAATTATTGTGAAGTGAAAATCGCCAACAAAAATGAACTGAATTAAAATATAATTTATACCTATAGTTAAATTTTTTTTTTATCATTTCCGAGACGTTAAAGTTTTAAGTGTTGTTTTTGTAACGTTAAAATAAATGTACCTAACCACGGTTTATTATACACCTATAGGCTACATTTTAATCGTGTTAATTAATTAAGTTTGTTAGAGCCGTATCTATTATAATTTATAATACTCTTTTGCACTGCTCGCTGTGTTTCGAACACAAATTAAGGGGAACACACACGTGACATAGTATTTTAGACTTATTTTTTGCCAAACATACCAATTGATCTAATGAAGCGATAAGAATTCTAAAAAATAGATTAGAATTTGTCGTCAAGTCTACTTGAAATCGATTTTTCCCACATTTTTGATTTTTTGATTTCAACTTCTCCGAAAATTTAAATATAACAATTTTGAAGTACTCTTATTTAATATAACATTTTTAGGAATTCGGGGGGATAATATCAAAAAAATGGGAAAGTCAATTTCAAGTAAACTTCACTACAATTCAATCTGTTTTCAGAATTCTTATCGCTTGATTAGATCAATTGGTGTGTTTGGCAAAACACAAGTCTAAAATACTATGTCACACGACGTGTGTTAGACAAAAACAGAAAATCACGGTATCGAATCCCCTTAATAATGGCATTAAAAGTACATTCGGATTGACGATCATAAATCACATAGGACTGTAGGAGGTCCCTATATAGCTAATAGTATTATTATAACTTTGCGGCTAATCAAATAGTCTGACGAGTGACGACATATTATGCTATATTATCAACATATATTCTTCAATCCGTTTAAATAAACAATAAATAAATATGACTAGTTATGTTCACAGTATAAATGACAAACGTAACCGAGACATTATCGGTCGAACCAAAATTCACTACCCATACATAATTAACAAACAGTTACATACGAGTAACAAGTATTGACAATGTTTTAAGCTAAAAAATTCATGTAACAGTGTATAATGTTATGTATTATCAGATGTCTAAATAGGTTTAATAGTTAATGTATTATGTATACTGTATAGTGTGTATATCCATATTATGTGTATAATATGTATTTTGAATTAGACAAGAAGATTTTATTAAATACCCATCATTAATGATCAAAGAATTTCAATTAAAATCGTAATCATTATGTCCCGAAACTAAAGAAAAATTATTTTTTTTCAAATACCAAGACATTTTTATATTAATATTTTCTTTCTTATTAAGACCCTCACTCGACAAAAGTCAATAACTATCCAATTATAATAATATACGACCACGGTGTTTCAAACTTTGGAAAATGATTTCCATCAAAACACAATTTTTCTCATAAAATCCTATTCCGTGAACTCATGCATCAATTATGATTTGAGTGCTTAATTTTCAGCTTCCATTTTTCACTATAGGGTTACCAATTTGAATAATATAATAAATAATATTTTCTTGATATTTGTAGTATTATGCAGATTGCAGACGGACCGCATAACAAATATGTGTACAATGAATATACTATATAGGTATAAACGATATTTGAATGACTATGAGATGGTATATAAAAACTATTGGCATCGTTAATAACACAATATTAGTACCAGGTACCAGGTTCTTAGTGCCTACATATTAGCATTTAGCAGTAGGATTTAAAACTATACATCAACAATAGCGTAACCATTACAATATTATTATGAGACACAATTTGTAGAACAGTATAGGTACCTTATATATTATAATATGTTGAATATTTAAAATATAAAAATACAAAAATAATTATAATATATTACATTATCGATTACTTACCGACAACATTGAGATATCCGATTTGAGTTTTAGCTGTGATCGTATTTATTTGACACATGTAACGGCCTCGATCTTCTTGCTGCACATTGCTTATGTGCAAAAACCACGTACGGTGTTTATCGTGGGACACGGTAATTCTTGGATTTCTAGTGATAACGTGGCTATTCACGGTCAATATGGCAGACTGTTCAAAGTGCATCCAAGCTACCTGCAAACAAAAATATTATTTTAAAAATTGTAATATAAACAACAACAATAAAGCTGTAGAGATATTTGTGCCGGCACGTTTAAAATAATAATAATTGTTGCGTGTTATGCGTAATATATTATGCACTTCCAAAGCCATCGACCATAAGTAATTATTATTTTCCGGTTCAGTGCAGCGCGTTTGTAAACAGCCATTTAAAAAAGAATGATATAGCATCTTTTTACTTTTAAGAGAGTGTAACATTGACAGAATGATACTAATCGAAATCCGATTTTGAAAAGTGGACGTTTTAAAGCTAGTAATTGCAGGGTTTTTTTTTTTTTGACAAAAACATTTCGGCGACACTTTTAAAGCAAAAAAGTTGTTCTTTATCCTTGGGAGATATATCATTTACCTCATAAGGTTATGACATTTTCCTGATAAATAATTGTCCATCAGAAACTATATAATCAAAAGTTTAAAGGTGTCAGTTAAAAAAATATTAATAATAATAATAATGTCGTATCATTAAAGCATAATATTATTATTATCTATCTATTATATGATAAAGCACGATTTCTTGTGCCAATCATCTTTTGTGGTTTGGTTAAACAGTTAAAATGTGATATACCTACTGCAGTGTATCTTGAAGTAAAAAAAAACCCATAGTGTTATATAAAATTAATATATATCCACATTTTTTATAATCATCAATACATTGAAAAAATAATTTGATTGTAAAAACTTTATTATAGGTAATATAATTTTATATCGTTTATATACATAAAAGTTACTTGGTCTCATTGAATCACATAGTTATAGTTCACTAAATTAATTTTCTTTTTTACTTAATTTGGATGCGAAATAGCATTTGCAAATGTTTCTAATGTTTTTATATTTAATACAAGTATACATTGTATAAATTATTATTAATAAAGTAAATATAAATACCTACACTAAATTAGATGTCAAGGAATTAAATATCAGATATTATTATTCTAAGAAGAATTCCATAGAACATACTACCCAGACAAATTATATTAAAATCAAACGTTGAAAAATCCAAAAAAATACGATCGAAGAGGATTTTTTCCCTGTTTTTTTAGTATTTCTGATGAAAATATTTTCATGATACAATTTTTAAAAAGGTTGATACTAGATTGAGATAGGTCGATAAGTGTGTTTCGATAAAAAAAAAATGGTGCTTTCTCACATCATTGTTTTCCGTCATATTACAAGAATTTCTCAAAACCTACTCTGATCACTTTTACTTTTCTACAAAGTGCTTTCCGAAAGCAAAAAGTAAAAAAACAACTACGTTAAGTATTGAAAAAGAACGACGGACAAATAATAATATTAATACAACAAACTTAATATAATAACTCAATCAATTTAGATTATAATAATATAAGTAAATGTGTTTAATTGAATTCACCTTAAATACAATGAAGAAAACTAATAAATTAAAAAGGACATAAAAAATAATTAATATTTCCTTTTTTAACATCGACAATGTATGTGAATTTTGATTCTTACTATATAGTAGGTTGATCATTTTTGCACGATAGTTGTTATTTAAGAAAATGAGTCATTTTAATTAGGTACCATATAATATTATAAAAATCAATCCGACTTTATAACTAAACAAAATTATAATTTGGTATATATTATAAAATAACACAATGAGTGATAAACAGATATTTTTTTTTTATTTTGGAGTTAATGTTTGAAAATAAATTATCATACAAAATATCTTTCTATACATAAAGGTAATATTAATTATTATTATTATATTAATTATTCCATATTTACGCCGTATTGTGTTTGTAATATAAAATTGTAAGTTATTCCCAAAAAAAATAATAATAATAAATGTTGGAAAAATAACAGGTTATTATAAAATAATATAAAAATATTTATTTACCTAATGATTTTTTAAATTTTATATTAATGAACTATATTATTTCATAACAATGGTCATGTTTAAATTAATTTTAAAAACATTCAGTATTTTTTTTATACATACTACTTAATTGTTATAATTTTTTTTTATCTGCCTATGTATTATTAATATTTATAATCATTAAGTATTAATACTATAATATTAATTTTTAAACATTAACTTCTCAATCAAAAAAGTTATTTTAATTTTACTACACCTCATACCTGGGTAGTCTACTTACTTTCTTTGAATTTTTGTTATTTTTTAGAATCAAATCATATTATTGTAATTTTTGTAAGGAAAACGATAATATTTAAATAAATATGATTTAAATATATGACTTGAGATTTACGAAAGACTTTTTTTACCGACACACATGTATTATTTATTGAGGCAACCCTTAAGGAGATGTTCACGAAACGAATTAACGACACATATTGACGAAAATAAATCAATCTAAATGGAAATAATATTATAAAAAAAGCTAAACAAAATACAAAAAGTGGTTCGGAAATATTTTATTTTTTGACAAATATAAACCATGATTGTATACAGTGTACACATGATGTCAAATTAGGTATTTTTCCATTGTATTCTAGATACTTTTTATTATTTTAAGTCCCTATAGTATTTTAATAAATCATTGCAGACCGGAAGTAAAAGACTCAGTAAGTTGATTCAACTTTTACAATTCCGAAAAAATAAAGATAAAAACATTTGGTCTGCAGTACTATTATTTTATCATCATTATAATTATTATTGCTATAAATTATTATTATTATTATTATGACTCTTATCATTATTACAATGGAGTAAAAGGAGTAGTACTTAAGATAAAAATAAGTGAAAGAGGGTAGAAATTGGTTGGCTAAACTAATGTTCAGAGCCCGCGGCCCTGCAGCTACCAAAAATAATAATCAAAAACGAGGGGCAACACCGGCAAAATTGGCCAATTACTCTCAGGTGGTGCCCTTCTCTACCTTAATATCTCAACTTTTGCATAACCTTTATGATATTGAATCGGTTAGTTGTCCTACGCTAGTCAAAAACTTAAACATTTCAAAACATAAGAAAAGTATAGTTAAATAAGTTAGATAAATAAAGTATGTTGTCAACAATACTTTGGTTAACCGTCAGAAAATCACATAATATATAATATTATATTCTGATAAAACGTGAAATATGATGAATGGGCTTCAGAGTGACACTTTCGACTGGACGCAAACGACCCTTTACAAGCTACTAATATTTTAACAGTTTACATAATATGTACTTATCAACAGCTATAATGTACATGAGGACATGTCAATTCATTTTCTCATATTATATTTTTATCAACACGAAATCTCCCACACATAAAACGAGTAAACACTACAACAACAAACATTGGTATACCTATTACCTATACCTGCAGGTATAGATATCATTAATGGGCAATAGTTGAAAAAAAATTTTGAATACCTATAATGCATTTCCGATAAATACATTTTTAGTTTTGTTTAACATTTAGCGTCGTATAAATATATTATCCCTAAGTTCTGCATAATATGAATCGTGTAATTTGGGTTCAATTGAAGTTTTGATGTAGGTACAGTGCCCGAGTTTCTGCATAATATACAGACTTAAACCTAAATAGGCTAACATGCGCCTTTAAATATAACGAACACAAATCACATAAGGTGAGTTTTATCAATGTACAAGAAAATGAAAATAATTTCAAATCAAAATTGATGGCCACAGTATGAGTTCGCTTAGTTATTTGAGTCGTGTGGTAAAGAGATTACCTATAAAAAAAAAAAGGGTGTATTCGTAAACTTTAAATTCGACACACGTGCGTTATGCTAGACGAGAATTATACAGCTGTGCAAAACAGAATGAATACCTCTGGCATTTTTGAACGGATTTTTTCACCCTTATACGGCTCCAATTGCCCTTTTTCTGGCACACGCCTCAAATGTTCACCATGTCTGTGCATAATACCGACTTTGGTTTTTCAAATGCAAACATCCGTAACGAGACACTCGAGAAAAATGTTCATACATACATAAATATGAGTGTGTTTATTTTTGGGATCAAAGGCCTCAAGAAGGTTAAATGTTCAAGTATAATGTAACGTAGGACAAAGGTTGGACGTAATACAGATTTCCAAAAACCAAAAAGTATTAAAAAAAAAAATAACACCACACAATATACCACAATACCTGAAAATAGAGTTTTTAAATATTACTTAAAGATGTAGTTTTTGTGAAGTTAATGTACAGCGAACTATATGCAACTATATTATATCATTTGTTTGAAATCAAAAATAAAATAAAATACAATAAAAAAAACTAATTTATGATAATATCCCGAGGTATTTATAAAATATGTTTTAAAAAACATTTATGTAGATAAATATATTGTATAATGTACTTATTGCAAAAATATACAGGTTATAACCATATAAATATATACGACGCAATCAGAAACCATTTTGTACACATATGATTTATTGTAAACACCATTTATCGTTTATACCTTTACCCTACAGATATAGATAAGTTGAATTTAAGTACTACGAAATACGATTTTTGCACATGTAAATACACGATTTTAGCATAATTTCTATAAACAGTGTATTTAAACAAGCGCACCTGATTGGTATAATATTAATCAAATGAAAAATAATATTTTATATCTGTGAAATTTAAAATAGTTTAAAATTATTAAAATAAATAGAATATAACCTTAAATAGAAATAGCCACTATAACGTGAACGCAGAAAACATCTGTGCATTTTTAAGTTATACAAATTATAATAGGTTTAGATATCGTATTAATTTTTTTTTTTTTGTATGTATTCTTAATTCTTTGATCCCTGCGGATTACTTTAATATCTGTACAACACAATTCGCACACATCTCGGATAGTCGTATTTACCATTTTACACTACACCGATATTCGTGTAAATAAACGTAAATAGGACGTATTGATATATAATATAATATTTTCAATGATATTTATTGCGTTCATTCGTACTAAAGGTAATATACTTAGGAATTTCTAGTAAGTCAGTATCGCTAAAGTCACCAAAGTATACTTTAATGAATTCACGAGAAACTCAATAAAAAAAATTAAAATAGTTATTTTTTTTCATCTCTACAACTATACAACCACGGTCTACAATGTTAATAAATAAGGCCTTTCTGGTTCGAGACGGGCGTCGAGAGAAAATGCAAAAACTAATTAAACTTAATGTTAAAACAAACATTTAAACTTACCATAATACTAACAACTGGGAAAGCCGCGGAAGAACCGACGACTAATGTAATTTATTGTTTTCATTGTACGATAAGAAATCTAAACATAGTTCACCGATCGTGTGGAATATAAAGAACTAGCTAGGTACGTTAGTGTTAGGTAGGAACTACCTAACTAACGTCTATTAGAATAGTCAGAGATTTAATTGCATGTATGAGCTGGGAAAACACGACTGTTTACGAGTACAATTAATATAATATCATTATAATAATACATTATTGTCTTTTTAAACAAATCATACCACCAAATAAAAAATAATGAATATTGTTAGGTATACGCGTAAAAGTATTTTAAAAATATAGTAGGTATTTGGTATAATATTATATAATATCATTTCAAATAAACGAATCGAAAATTTGATGGAGTTGAAGTACACGTCATTGATTAGAATCTACTTCAAATAATTACGTTTTGTAAGTAGGTACCTACCATAAACGAAAATATAAAAAAATAAATAATATTTAATATTATATAGAGGCGAAAAATGGTCAGAACTCGTATTTCGTTTTTGTGACGACATGCGTATTTTTCCTCGTGGTAAATTTGATTGAAATAATATTACTTTCCATCCGAAAAATAACATAGGTATATATAGTACTCATAGTTGATTCGCCAAATCCAGATAATGTGACAGTGTGTGAAGAGAGTGTTTTTTCCTCGCCTGGTTCAATCAAAATAATGGATTCTGGTTTCGGCGAACGAGGAAAAATCATATAAATATATATATATATATATGTATCTATCTGTAATATTAAGCACGTATTCGATTTCCGATGGAAAAAAAATATATCAAACCTTGTATGATCCCAGATTTCTGACGGAGCATCCTAGCTTTACACCACGTCCTGCAGGTACCGTCACGTTCGTTATGGGTTCCGTAAACTCCGGATCACCCGAAATCCCTGAAACAACAAGAATATATTTTATTATTACGAGTGTTATCAATATTATGTTATTAAAATTATTATCGAAATTGGGTGGGGGTTGGTTCCATGATAAATATACATGTAGCAAATGCCCAAACGCACTAAAATATTATGTATTAAGACGTCCCACATACGTTTCGGAAGAGACATAATACGATGTATAAGAGTAATGATTGTTTTTTTTTTCACTATTATACTGAACAAATAAAGTGTAGAAAATATTATGTGGAACACTGGAATGAAAATATGTAATGAAATATACAACAGACTTTAATCTCAACGTGCATTTAATATTTAATCATCTGAATAATTATGTTTTCACTTAAATTTGAGAAATCGCACGACAAAGTTACAATAGAAAGTACAACATATTTTTACAGAGGGTATATTATAGTGTTTACAATGTTTACATAATATAATATAATTATTTATTTCAATAATACTATGTTGGTCCTCAATAATTGAAAAACTTAATAAGTAATATTATTAGTTGTTTAGTTTTTTAATCCTAATTTGAGTACATAAAGCTTCAATAAAAATAATGAAACTTTTAGAAAAAAATTAATATACATTTGTAGAAAGTTCTAATAGTAAATAACAACACCCGCAAAACTTGACGAACTTATGAACTTGTTCACAAAATTATAACTGAATAGACATTTCCTACGTATATTATACAATAGAATTACGTGTTAGAAATATATACGCCCTAATTATTTATACTTTACAATAAATAAACTTAAAGTAAAGAAAAGTTTTTCCAAAAATGATTTTTCACTGTTCTCTGAATTTCTGATGATATACCAACATAATCACAAAAGAAAAATTAATTTATTTTGAAATGTTACACAAAACAATAAAATAATCAAATTTCATAAAAATTGAGTTTAAGTAAAAATTTAAAATAGTATAAAGTTATAAAAAGTGACTTGAAGCTGAATAGTATAATTATTATTTATTTAAACTTAAATGCGAACTATTACGTGAGTCCAAATTATTAAGCAAAATATTTAATTTGATAATTATAAATACCTAATCATGTTGCACATTTTTGTAGAACTATGTATTGAATATTATTAGCCATCTCGGAAACGTATGATAAAGTATAGTAATTTGTTAAAAAATTTGCGTTATAATAATATAAATTAATTTACAATCTTATCTTACTGTCAAAAACAATTTTACGTATATTAAAAATATAATTTATAATAATATTTTACTATCAACTAAATTAAAAAAATTACTTTCTGAACTAATTTAAATATAATATTTGAGCTACCTGTATGTCGATATTACAATGTTAAAAAAAATCCTAACATAGTACCTAAGTAATACATTGATGTGCTATGATAAAACCATTGGATGTTGATCATTTTTACCTACATACATCGGGGTGGAACATAATAATATGAGACTTTTATCTATAATTTCAGTTCTGCACTACGCCGGTGATTTTAGATCAGTTATTATTGATTTATGAAGGTGTATGATGTAATATATTATATAATTTTTTTATGTACTGCGTGTTTTTGCAAAAAAATATTTTTCTTAGTTTTTTCCACACACCAAAATAGTTTTTCTAAAAAGTTTTTGTTGGATAGGTACACGCGGATTTCTCGTTATTAATAAACATTCGGTGTTGTACCTAGTATAATATAATTGTGTATAATACCACTTACCAGTATGACTATAAGTATTAGATACATGGATGTAAAATTAAACATTGATAATAAAAAAATAGTTTAAATAATAAATAGAATAGGCATTGTTAGAGAAATCGACTCAAAAACTTATGGGAAACTTTAAAAACTACGGGTTATTTTTATTGTTCTTAATGAAACTTATACTGGGAAAAATGTATATCGATTTTTAAAAATGTAAAATTTTTTAAAAATAACAAAAGTATAGGCACGAAACGTTATAAATTATAATATATAACGGTTTCAGGGTGTATTGCACACATTATTTGCATCACAGAGGAATATAATTTGACTGAAAGCGGTAAATAGAAATGCATTTACGATCTGCGTATAATAATATAATATATGCGTATTGCGTAGCTATATATTATATATAATAATAATAATAATAATATATTATAATAATACGTACTGTCATACCGTCAAAATTCCACACAAATTTAAGCCAATAATAATATATAGTTAAGTCTATATTATAATATACCTAGATATGGGCTATGTATGGTTTTATATTTGGGCACCGCAATGGAGTAACTATGGGTTCGTACTAGATAGTCATATTATAAATTATACTAGCTGATCCCATGTACTTCGTTACCCGTTAAATGGACCAGCTCTTTATGACTCTAACTTCGTTCAATTCATTATTTAATATTCAGTGTGTGATGTTCAAAATTTATCTTAACTTTTCCATTGACTGGAATAAAAATTCTGATTCGCAGCAGTATATTATCAGGTATAGGCAAGTCGTACACGTTACTCCTATAATAATTATTATTATTACTATTTCGAAACGTTCGATTCGACAGGTGGTGATGGATCGCTAGGAGTGGTAGGTAACGGGGAAACGTGTATAGCGATATAAACGTGATCAGACACGAAAGCACCGAGAGCGTATATATATTATTATGAATGCGAATCGCGCTAATGAGAGACGACGACTAATACTATCAAAAAGCGATTAGACGACGATTCCAACGACGACGATTTTGGGGTGGGGGGGGGGTGGTCTGGGGGTGACAAAGCGTGGAGCGACGGACCCTGAGCAAAATAGAAACCGAAGGACAAATAGCTAGGGATGAGAACGACGGTGGGGAAAATAAAAATAAAAATATATATGCTTTACATATTATTTTAATAAACGCGGACGAAAGACAACCACCGCGGGCGTAGGTGGCGGCGAACCGAGTGCCAGGAGAGCGGGTGATGTTGTGTGCGGGGGCGCGTGTGTCAGTCACGCAGCGGCGGCGGCGGCGGCACATGTGCGACAGATGCATCAATCTCCCGCGAACGCGAAATGAGGAAGACGCCGCATTATACAGAACTCGCGGAGAGAAAAAAACGCAGAGGAACAACGACATTTGTGTTGTATTATTCAGACGAGTCCCCCCCACCCTCGTCCCACCGCCACAAGAGCGTCACCCGGTGCTGTTTTGCCTTGTTGATTCCTCTCGCGGTTTAATATTGCATTCATCAAATAATAATAATAACGAATAAATAAAAAAAAAAACAACACGTAAATCGTATAAATCGTCAACAGCGTATAATAATATAACGCGTATAATACCGATGTGTTTGTGCGTATAATATATACAAACGTATATTATTATATACATATATGTATAAAATGCGGGGAGTCGCGCGAGCCTTAATCGATTTACGTTCGCGTTGTTATATTTGTTTTATGTTCGAGTATTATATTGTTTATGCACATTGTTGTCCGCATAAAAAGTAATATTTGGTTCCCCGTACACGGGACGTACCGCGTGACGCTTGCAAAAAATATCCAAAAAATACCGCATGTAGGGTATACTATATACGTATAATACTATTATTATAATACCTACTGGAGAGAGCAGACACGACGCGTCCAACAACCTCGACGAGGTTTTACGCGAGCAAACGTTGAGTACGGTTTTCGTCTGAAATCCATACTGATGTAATCGTTGTAATTTCGTTTTCGTCGAAAATTAATGTGTGTGTGTGTGTGTGTGTGTGTGTGTATACAACACATAGGGATTAAATTTACAGTCAGTGGCGTAGACAGGATATTGTGTACGGGGAGTGGCTAAGTCCCACTAAAAAGTCCCCATTCAACTTTCCTTCACTCGCACTTTTTGAAAAATCTTTTTTCAATATAACACAGTACAGTCTAAAATAAAAATGGTCGATTTGAGAGGGGCTATAGCCCCCTTAGCCGCCCTAGCACCGCCACTGTATATAGCACAATAAGTGTATAAAACGCCGGGAGTCGCAAGCCTTAATCGATTTACGTTTGCCTTGTTGTATTTGTTTTATGTTCAAGTATTATTGTACACATTGTAGTCTGCATAAAAAGAGATTTGATCCACATGCATATAAGATGTACCGCTCGACGCTTGTTCCTACTGCAGATACGACTTCGGCGAGTGACCCTGCAAACGTTTCGAACAGTTTTCGTCATGTCGGTTTCCGATTAAACGCAGTTTTATATTTTACCACAATTTGGTTTTATGTCCAAAGTTCTTGAAACAATATTATGTTCAATATACAACACGAGTACACGACTATTGTTATTATACTAAAACCAATACATTCGTGACTAATTTCTCTGCATGAAAAAACGAATCGAATTATATTCCTTATTATTTATTTTTTTTAATCATGCTGGTAAGACAAGTGCGTTATGAATGGAAAAATATTACTATAATATGCGGTACAGTCGAATATATAACTCACACCAACATAGTTATCGCGTATATTACGAGTATTTATGTAAGTATTTTAGCAACGAAATCCGGACTCGCTGCAAGTGCGGTGACAGTCAAGACCGCCGTCCCTTAAGTATACTGTAAAGACGCCGAACCCACATATCCGATTTATCGGTGTGCATAATAATAAGTATGGAGATTGGGAGGTTGTGTGCCTGACCGATAACCCTCTCGTACGCTCTGCAGACCGCGCTCGGTCGTTGTACAATATATAATGTATATATATGGCTGCCGACCACCACCCGACGGCGTCAAAATAGCGTTTTCAAACACGCACAATATCGCCGGTCGGGTGCATGATTTAATCGCGGTTTATCCCAAGGTTCGATTTAATATTGGCCGAGACGTTTGTCTTTTGACTCTGCATATACATTATGCACATATTATTATAATAAGACGCCCCGGAGGAGAGTTCGGGCGCTGCACCCTTTCCGCGCGCCATCCACCTCAAACTTTGTCCGAGCAAACTAATGTTATTATCACTGCCGGAATTCAACGTTATACCGCCGAGGTTGGGTATCGTCGG